ACAACATAGAATTTCTTTTAAGAAGAATGTTACTTCTAGAAAAGAAAATGTTTTGGAGTTGATTCATTCGGATGTTTGTGGTCATTTGAAAGTTAGAACACATAGTGGTGCACTTTGTTTTGTTACTTTCATTGATGATTATTCAAGGAAAGTTTGGGCTTTTTTACTAAAAACTAAAGATCAAGTTCTAGAAGTATTTAAGCATTTTCAGGCCATGGTTGAAAGAGAAACATGGCAGAAATTGAAGTGCATCCGATCAGACAAATGGTGGTGAATACATTGGGCCATTTGATGAGTATTGCCGCAGCCAAGGTGTTCGGCACCAAAAAACAGCTAAGAAGACTCCTCAACAAAATGGCGTTGCCGAGAGGATAAACTGCACCATTGTGGAAAGAACAAGGTGTTTTCTTTCACAAGTTAAATTGCCAAGATCCTTTTGGGGTGAGGCAATGAGGACAGCGGTTGACATGATCGATTTGTCTCCTTCCTATCCGTTGAATGGTGATGTTCCAGAAAGAGTTTGGACCGGTAAAGATGTGTCTTATGAGCACTTGAGAGTGTTTGGTTGCCGAGTTTTTGTTCACATTCCAAAGGATAAGAGATCCAAACTTGATAGTAAGTCAAAACAATGTATTTTTATTGGCTATGGTGGTGATGAATTCAGGTATATATTGTGGGATCTGGTCGACAAGAAAGTCATTCGAAGCCGTGATGTTGTGTTTCTTGAAGACCAAACAATTGAAGACTTTGGCAAAGGTGATCAACCGGAGCCAAAAACTAGTGATCTCATCGACATGGATCCATCTCCTTCATCTTCAGTTGATGATGAAAATGGGGGAGATGTGCAGCCACCTATTGAAGATGTGGAGGATGATGCTAATCCTAATGAAGTTGAGCCAGAAATTGAGGAAGAGCATCCAACTCAAGAACCGCCACCACAACTTGAGTTGAGGAAATCTACAAGGGACCGACAACCTTCGAGAAAGTATCCTCCCAATGAGTTTGTGTTGATTTCTGATCAAGGGGAGCCCGAGAGCTATCAAGAAGCAATTGAGCATGCAAAGAAAGGTGATTGGAAAAAGGCCATGGAAGAGGAGATGAATTCCTTACTTGAAAATCACACTTATGATTTAGTGAAGTTGCCAAAGGGGAGGAAAATTTTGAAAAATAAGTGAGTTTTCAAATTGAAGAATAATAGGAAGAATCTGAGGTATAAAGCACGTCTTGTTATGAAAGGCTTTGGGCAAAAGAAAGGTATTGACTTTGATGAGATTTTCTCGCCGGTTGTGAAGTTGTCTTCCATTCGGGTTGTACTTGGCATGGCTGCAAGTATGAACCTTGAAATTGAGCAACTTGATGTGAAGACCACATTTCTTCATGGTGACCTTGAAGAAGAAATTTACATGGAGCAACCAGAAGGTTTTGTGGAAAAAGGAAAAGGGAAATTTGTTTGCAAATTGAAGAAAAGTTTGTATGGTCTCAAGCAAGCTCCGCGGCAATGGTACAAAAAATTTGACTCTTTCATGATGAATAATGATTTTGTAAAACCACTTCGGATCATTGTGTGTTTGTGAAAAATTTTTTGAATGGCAAGTTTATTATTCTTTTGCTTTATGTTGATGACATGTTAATTGTGGGTCAAGATTCTACCATGATTAACAAGTAGAAGTTAAAGTTGAGTAAATCTTTTGCTATGAAAGATTTGGGACTGGCAAAGCAAATACTTGGTATGAAAATTGTTCGTGATCGCAAAGAGGGGCTGATTTGGTTGTCTCAAGAAAGCTACATTGAGAAAGTTCTTGAGAGGTTCAACATGGATAAAGCAAAGCCGGTTGGTTGTCCACTTGCGGGTCACTTCAAGCTTAGTTCGAATCAATGTCTTACAAGTGAGAAAAACAAGGAAGAGATGCAGAAAATTCCTTATGCTTCAGTAGTTGGTTCTTTGATGTACACCATGGTTTGTACAAGGCCGGATATTGCTCACGCCGTTGGTGTGGTGAGTCGGTTTCTCTCTAATTCGGGTAAAGAACATTGGTAGCGGTAAAATGGATTTTAAGATATCTTTGAGGGACTTCGAAGGTGTGCTTGTGTTTTGGGGATGGTAAGCCGATGCTTGATGGGTTCACAAATTCTAACATGGCTGGTGATGTTGATTCTAGAAAATCTACTTCGGGGTATTTGATGACTTTTGCAGGGGGAGCTATGGCATGGTAATCTAAATTACAAAAATGTGTTGCTCTCTCAACTACCGAAGCTGAATTTATTGCCATTACAGAAGCTTGCAAAGAAGAGTTATGGTTGAAGAAATTTTTGTAAGAGTTGGGTTTGAAACAAGAAAAATATGTGCTTTATTGTGATAGTCAAAGTGCTATTCACTTGAGTAAAATTCTACTTTTTATTCGAGATCGAAACACATTGATGTGAGATACCATTGGATTCGTGATGTGTTAGATTCAAAATTGTTATAACTCGAAAAGGTTCACACGGATGATAATATTTCAGATATGTTGACTAAGACTTTGTCGAGGGATAAACATTTGAAGTGTCGAACTTTGGCAGGTATGGTTGATCTCTCCACCTAAGTCGGTGGGGGGAGAATTGTTGGGTATGCTTCCTTAGTGGAGTTTGGAACCCAATTGGTTTTGGTTAAAGAATTCTAATTTGGTTTGGTTTGGTTTAAGTATAATATATTTTATATATATTATATCTAATTTTGAGAGACCTAATTCAATTTGGTAACAATTAGGGTTTGATTACAAAACCTAAGATTCAATAATATATATATATATATATATATTGTTTTAGTCCTTGGAAAATCAGAGGGCGTAATGGCAGCGAATTGGTTTTATGGAAGACAGTGCTTCGGGTGTAACCTTTTTTCTGTGAGAGAATGGTTGCTGTGTGGATTCGATTTCCAAGGATTTGTTTTTGAACCATAGAATCTTTGATTCGATGCTAGTTTGATTCAGATTTTGGGTCTTCTACAATTCTGGTTCTAAAGATTTTGGTTCATCTATTTGGTGAGGCCTTTTCTCTTGTTTATTTCTGATTATTTGGAATTCACCTAAGGGTGGTTTTGTGAGACCATTCGTGTCTCGTTTGTAATTGTTTGGAAACTATTTCGTTGATAGTGGAATCGCATTTCGATCCCGTGGACATACCTTACATTGGGAGAACCACATAAAATTCTCGTGTTGCTTTTGAATTAATTTTTCCGCATTAGTTTCTATTCCCATTGAATGATTTACTTGTGGGCATATATTTTCCCTAATGTATCTCTCGCTCTCTCTCTCACACACACGCGCGCGCGTGCGCGCGCACACACACACAGAGTTTTAACTGGTAGAGTCATGACAAGCTCTCTTGCTTGCTTTTCTCATCCTCATACCCTGAAGCATTCTCGGTTCTACCAATTAAAAAGGGCTCCAGCAAGGAACTGTGGCTTTAAATGTCAAGACCGTGATAAGACCGAGATGCAAGATACTCTGCCCCAGATTTAGTTGTTCCCTTGATTATAGATTTAGGGTCCTTGCCGCTCACCTGAAGAGCCTTCTCCGTTGCTTTCACTAAGGCAAGAGTTTCATCTTCATTTTCCATACTGATCTCTAATAAGCCACACATTCAAATATTCAAAATATTAGAAACATTAATTACATTTACCATGTTCCTAAACACCAAAAAGGTAAATTTGGGTTCACTACAAGAATTAACACTTTTGCCGACCAAAAAATTGGTCGCTAAAAGCCCATTTTTGGTCGGCAAAAATTATTCGCGACCAATTTTTTTGGTCGCTACTTTGGTCGCCAATTGAGGGTCGGCAAAAGTAATTCGCGACCAAAATTTTGGTTGGTCAGGAAAAGTCGGATTTGCCGACTAAATTTTTGGTCGCGAAATATATCATTACCGCGACTAATTCATTTAGTCGCTGAAACACTTTGGTCGCGAAAAGTGATATTTTCCCGACCAAAAAGTTTGGTCGCCAATTATGACATTCCGCGACCAAAAAAGTTTGGTCGCCAATCGTGACATTCCGCGACCAAAAAAATTTTGGTCGCCAATCGTGACATTCCGCGACCAAAAAGTTTGGTCGCCAATTGTGACATTCCGCGACCAAAAGGTTTGGTCAGCATTTGTTACTTTTCACGACCAAAACTTTTGGTCGGCAAAAGTGAGTTTCCACGACCAAGAACTGTTTTGGTCGGCAATAAATGTATTTTTTGCGACCAAAACTCTTGGTCGGCAATTGTCTTTTTTTACGAAAAAAATATTATTTATTAGTCGCGACTAATAAATTGGTCGCCAAAGCAGGAAAACAAGACACCTGCAATTCCTAATAATTCATTCAATCCATAATAAACCTATAATTTTAAAGCATCATTCAAATTAACTGAATCATTAACATTCGACACAATACATAATTCATTAACATTCGACACAATACAACTATTCTAAGTTTTCATTCACAAGTCACATCTAGCATAACAATTTGAAACATAACTATTTCTCGAGATGAACAGCAGCAAGCCAAGCATCTAAAGTAGTCAGAGTGCTTTCTCTCATATGTTTGTTATTGTCACCAAGGCATTTCAAAACATCTGACAGTATACCCTGCAACAAACAACTTCCCAAAATTAAAGTCAAATTTAAAGGACAATAGAATACAAAGTTAGAAGGAAATTTAGGTTTAGAGCAAATTTAATATGGTTGAACAAAAAAAAATACCTGTCAAATAATTATCAAGAACTAAAATTGATGTTTATTAAAATAATAAATAAACTAAGCTTGAAAACAAAATTAAAAATAAAAAACAATGCATTGCATACCTAAGAATAGAAACAATTCAGATTTTGAATACATCAATTAAAATCAAAATGGTCAAGAAGTGTAATTTCCCCAAAAAAATTAAAAAGGAATAGAAAGCACACTAATATGGATCTGTTGGAGAGATTGTTTTGTTGTTTGGTTCTTTGTTAAGAATCTTATACTACACATGAAAGAGAATGGAGCAACCTAACAACATCATCATCTGTCAAGTTTAATTGAGTCATGATTTCCTGTAACTCAATCTATCTGAGGCATTAAAAAGCAGCAGCACAAAAGCCTGTATGGATGAAATGCTAAAGCTCAAACCTCTGCGTTAAGAATCATAAATCCATGTATTAGATTAAAATAAGTTTCTTCAACAAAATACCTGGTAGGTTGTCACAATGAGCTCCATAGTTTTGGGTTCAAATTTTCCATTGAGGTTACAAGTACCCAATGAATAAATCCATGTAAGTTTTCTGTGTTTTGTTTTTGTTTGATAGAATTCTCTGAAAACTTGCACACACTTAACCTAGAGCAGAAGTGAATAAATAGAATGACGTCAATGGGAATGTTCAGAAACACAGCATATGACATAAATTCACATTAAAAGAAACAATTTCAAAATTTCAATCTATGAGCGAATAAAAATCTACAAGCATTACCATTTCTGCTGGGAGGTTGAGGTCAAAAGACTTGTAACCAGGCCAAAAGCCAGTAGTTAGGACAGTAACAGTCAGGTCAATCCCAGGACTTGCATCTGGATTGGTTTTGAGGTACTCTTCAAAGTTAGTTTGATTTTTCCTTGCCAAAGTCAAATCTGTCACCTGGAAAACAGCAAAGCAAGAAGACAATTATTTCTGCCAGTATCCCAAAACTACATTAAAGCATGGCTTGCAAATTAATACAGGTTGTAGACAACTCACCATTCCCTCAATCTTTGATGTGAACTGACCACCACACTGCTGCTTCAGCTTTGTCAGGATACTTCTCTCCTGCTCATCATTGGCACTCTTGTCAAAAAGTAAGCGTCGAGCAAGCTTTTTTCTGCCAGTCATTGCAACAGAAAATAAGTATCTATGAATCATCGAATCACAATATTCTGCAATCACTTGAAAACCAACAAAAAATTAAATAAAATTACCGGTAGAATTCAGTGAACAGATCCTTATCACTAATATAAGTAAGGAGCTTTACTACCTGTAGAATAAAAAGAAATCCAATTGCAACTGTTTGTATCTCATTCTCAACAATAAGTCAAAGCAAATGCTATGAAAGATAGAAGCATACCTTCTCAAGTGTTTCCTCAATGGTTTCATCACCCAATTTCTCACTCCCACCTTTCTTAAGAATATTATCACAAAATGTGGCTAGTAGTTCTACACTCGAGCTTCCACCAACACCTTTGTTACAGAAGACTTCAAAAGCCTCTTTGAGCGCCTAAGGCAAACAAAGGAGATTTTAATACATGAATAATAGGAAGGAAACCACGACTATGCAGCAATTGTTTAATACAAACCTTGTGGAAAAGAGTATGGTTCATAAAACAGTTATTTACGTACGCCATGTACTTGTCATGAAGCTCGATAACTTTTCTAACAAAAAACCTGAAGGCCCCACAGGTTAGTCAGTTCCCATACCAAGAATCCATTAACAAATCCTAGAAGTGAAGTACTATAAGAATTTGACATTACCTGTTCCTGCAAACCAACCACATCTTTCTTATCTGCCTGTACCAGGACACTTCTTAGCATTAGAACCAGAAATAAAATTAGAAAAGATTATCACTAAGACATATATAAGAGTAGATATGTTCTTTCCACCCAGAAAAGGGGAAATAAAATAAAAAAAAGGAAAAGAAAGAAAAATTTTAAGTGAACAACCTTGGTTAATGATGCCACCACATCAAACAATTATTTGTACCCCCAAAGTCAAATGTAGTGCTAAATTTTGTACATTGCCATTCATTTAATTAAAATCCAAATTTAATTTCCTTCCAAAAAAAAAAAAAGAGTATATAACTTGTTAACCAAGTCCAATGTAATGGCAGATCAATCATGAGCCTTGTGAAATGCACCTCCTCAGAAGACAAATTGCACAAAGACTATGGGATCTGAAATAACACAATCAAGATTACATCACCTTCTTATTGCTGGCTGCATCTTCCGCTTGTTTAACCAATGCTGTACCTTCAGCAGTAACATGCTGCATAAAGAAAAACCCAGCCAAACTTCAAAATAAACAAGGGGAAGAAACAAATAATACCAGAGGCACAATGCTACATTCTTTACAGAACAATGTACTGCAAGTTAAAGACCAAAACCTGTTTAAATATACTAGAAACCGGATTTAAACCTCCAGGTATTTTGGAAAAGAGCCTATACATCCTTGATAAATCCTCTATCTACAAGAGAACAGGAAAAAAATGTTAATAAACTTTAGTTAATTGCAACTGAAATAACAGCAAGAAGGCTTGAATAATAACATTGTCCAAGTCTGATAAAAAAAAATGGTCCAAATGACTACCTTGTCATCCCTAAGCAATGCATGACATCCAGAGTGCTCCTGCTCGAGCAATTGGGTTGCATAAACGGACAACAATTCATGTTGAACTTTCTATAGGAAGACAAAATTACCCATAATTATAACAGCGAAAGTGCATATCTTCAAAATTGGCCTGAAAATAAATAAATAAATAAAAGAAATAACCATTAAAAGACTAATTATTATTGGGTAGAAAGAAATTTAGTATGACTTTACAAGAGGAAGAACAAACCTTAAGCAACTTTAGCTCGCTACTAGAATGTAGGTAATGAGCAACCCTATCATTCTCTCATTTCAAACACTCCTCAACCTAGAGTTACAAAAGGATTTTTTAGAAATTATATAGGATTATCAAACAAATATATCTGACCTTAACAAGAAAAAAAAAATGAATAGATGTTTACTTTCAACATATAATCTGGACAGGAATCTTCTAAGATCCAGTTTGAAGCCTTTCGAGAATAATAATCCGCAGTATCTTTCAGCATATCTGCTTCAAAGTCATTCTCACAATGATCCATTTGCCCCATTCCGATCTCAACAAATATATCCAAAACAAAGTCATTCTCATAATATATCCATTTGCCGCATTCTTATGAGATGATCCAGCTTCTTATGATCCAGCTTCTTATGGGCTGATAATCTGCATACCAATACCCATCATTTGTTATGGAATGAAGATAAGCTGACTATTATAGCTAAAAGTATATATAGTCAGCATATCTTCATTTGCTCATAAATAATCAAGAAGAGGGACTGCCCACTATAACTGAGTACCCATGAGGATGAAGATCTTTCAATCAGAAGGTAAATGAACAAGCAAAGTCATGAGAATCATGTGGAAATGTTATTTTCACTTCTCAATTTAAACTAGCTACCAATAAAATGAAATTACCGTTTGTTTTTTGTTTGTTTTTTTTGTTTTTTTAAAAAAGAACCATCTCCTAAAAATAAAACATAGAATCAGGAGAGAACCATATAGTAACTTTCATTGGCAATGATCTTTTCAAAATCTAACAGACGCTAAAGGATATGGTTTCAGTACAGATTCGGAGAATGTTGTTGGCGGTATGTCATCATGTGCACTAACTATTGTTGAGGGCTATTTGTGTTATATTCAAAATTCTTGAAGCGAGCTAAATAGTTGAGAGATAGAATAATAGACCAGACAAGCTCAGTATATATTAGTTCATCCGGATTTCTGCGACAGACTGATTATGGCAGAATTGATCTAAAACTATAACGAGGTATTTTCGCGCGTACCACTTATATCATGCAGCCACAGTAATTCGGCTAAAAACGACATGGGTATGCAATAAACGGGGGTAATTCGAACAACCTATACGGATTCTCTCTGCACATCGCACATATAATGTAAATACCGCGGGATGTTATGGAGGAACATCATCAATCAATAACACGGAACACAAAAAAACAATCGTGTTCACGCGTGTGGAAGTAGGAAAAGAGAGAGATTAAGGCACCAATTATAAATCACCACAATAAAAGTCATAGTCCTATTCATACCTTTGCATTTACAGCTGCAGGAGAATTGCGAGGTACTTCTAAAGGTGTTCGAGTCGTGTCCGTTATAAACCTGGAGAGATAATAATAGAGGAGAGCGACAAATTAGAGAGAGAGGAAACAGTACCTGTATTTAAACATATCCTGCCCTACCTCTTTGATGCTCAGGAGAATCTCGGGTATGCACAGGTGATTTAGCGAGTAGGTATAAGAGAAGAATACACGTATAAGATGCGAAAACATTGAATAAGCCACAAACAGAGGTATGATGTAAACACCAAAGGTTTAGCATATCTGCACTGGATGCAGGAAGAAATCTTGTATAAGATGTGTTCTTCGCACAAGTCTGTGTCCGCACACTGCCATGTAAAGAATGCGCAAACAAAAACCCCACAGCACGGTAGCCAATACGAAGATCCCTGAATCAAACCAAGAATAAACAAATACCCAAAACCTGCTCCATCAATTATAACTTCACTATCCCTAGAAACCAACGTATGCCAATACAGCAGGAACGCAAAAATCTAAGACCTGCAATGACACAAACTCAAGTCGGTATTCATATTATATCGACACAATTTTGTGTTCGAGACTCGTAATGCGCAAAATACATGGAGAAGAAACTAGCAGAGACAATATGTAAAATAACCCTCAACATGACGAGGTATTCAATTCCAACGAATTATTCTCATGCGTCAACTGCAACTTGAGAGTGCTAGGAAGTCACCACTTAAGCCCGTAAACATCACAGAATGTGTAGAACATACACGCATAAATTACTATCTATACTTTTCAGACAATCCCCAACTTATCTACTGATGATCTCTTCTGTATACCGTAAATTACAACAATTGCCGAAATCTCTATTCAGATATAATGTAAATCTCTTAATCATGATTCAGGAACTTGCAGTTACCTCCCCGTAATTTAGTTACACAATATCTGTCCGAAAGCACTAGGGACCATTTAAGGCAGAGATTGGGCATTAACTAGCACGACAATGCTTACTGTCTCGATCAAAGCAAGGAACTGAACTCACGGAGAGAGTGTTTCTCAAGAGAGTACAACTTCTTAGCTAACTCGCTAGCACACAAATTGAAATTGTAACGCCAGAAAGATATACCAACCCGTGACTATTACATTACATATCTTGTCACACACTCTCAGTCAGCAAGGAGAAATAATAACACACGAGTAAGTCACGGATGTATTCGAGTCGATTAGTAAGCTCTATGGAACACTGCGCAACGAAAATGGTGAGGTAAAACCCCATAGTTATATTTATTCACTCATCTGCCTTAACTCTGAATCGCGCAGTGCCACAGGTAATCCGTATGAGGCTGTTATTCACGATTGAAGATGTTCGAGAACAAAGTAATAAACTAAAGCCAAGACCAAGGAGCAAATATGAGAGCTGCATAGAAGAATGACGTACGGAAACCCGATATTTAAGCATATGCTGGCCACTGTGCGAGGACAATCCGTAGTAGGTGTTGCAGAGGTGTTCGAACCGTATATCAGCGCAAGAAATGGTACGGAGACCCCGGTATTTACATCATCTGGGCCACATGTGTCAGAGGAATCGTCGTATTAGGTGTTCGAGTGTTTTCGAACCGTATGCGGCAAGAAATGGTATGTAAACCCCGTATTTACAGTATCTGCCACTCAAATAGGGTGCAGCGAAGACATCCGTAATAGGGTGTTCCAAGATCCACAAGTGTGCGTATCTTAGACAACACCAGTACTCTCGCCGCAAGCTTAAATGTGATAAAGTCCGAAGAAATTGCGCACCGATAGATTATACAAACATAAACTCCCGGAGAACGCTCTACACCAGCAATTGGCCAGTAAAGGTTACTCATTCCGTCAAGCATATTACGAGTTAAGGTAAAATTCCGTAAGCCTAGGGTATGCATAAGCAAAATAACCGAGTAATTTGCCAAATAGCGTTCAAGAAATAAAATTGCGCCACGGAATACCCCCGATATCATCCAATTATTACATCTATTGGGCACTGTTCCAGCTAGCAGACAGAAGAGAATCAGAATATTGAGACGCTTCGAGTCGCCTCTCGAAAAAGAGAACCCCCAGTAAGTGACGCGTGCCGAAGAAATGGTAATCTTGGCAAGCTCACTTCCTGTCATATATGTACTTTACATTATCGTGCGATCCCCAGTAGGTCGCCACCAGGAGAAAATCGCCATCCAATGAGGTGTTTTCCGAAGGTGTTGTCGAAACGCGTATGAAGAAGCAAGAAAGTGGTCCCGACCACACCAGTATTTACACTTACATCATCATTGTCCACATGGATAGAGGAATCCGGTAACTCACTCAAAGCTTGCTGTTGCCCATTGTGTTGTAACATACAAGAAAGGACAGAGTAATGGACGAAACATATGATAGAAGAAGCTTGCTTTGTAGATAGGAATGGTATAGAATTTCGGGAGCTTATTTGTGAAAACTCCAACTTAGGTTTCCGTGTCTTCACTTGGATATCGGATACAGAGAACTCCCCAGTTTAGATTTTAGTTATGTTGTATCGACGCGCTGTTATTTCGCTATTGATGACGCTGGATGTCATCCCTTCAGCAGAGGTAGTGGCGCCCACGTTCAGAACACCTCACAACACACAGGGATTGGGCTTCTGGTGAATGTACTTAATCACTAGTGAGACTAGGTAAGATAATTAAGCGAAGGATACCATAAAGCATTTTGACTGCATGGTATCAAGTATGACTCCGTGGGCAAAATAGCATAGTGCGATAATGTTTACAAAGAAGTCAAATACATTCTTCTATGTTGGGGGTCTCTTATACCTCCAGTATTTTGTCTGTTGTGTCTGTCTATGTATGTATCCTGGCAATCTTAAAAAAAGACACTGGTACTTTCGCTATAGCAATGAAAATAATCAGGGCGAAGAAGATGACGCATAGACGATTGAGAGGAAAGCTTATTCACCGTGTTTATACATATCTGCCGACAGTTTTAAGCTAACAAACAAGAGGAAGAGGAAACTGATGGGCATTAAGCTCCGCAGGTTATAAACCTAAATAAGGCACAAATAACTGTATTATGCGCAAGGAAGAACGTTATTTGTTTTCTCGATTAAACCTGAATATTGAGCGCAAGAGATGCGAGAGTCAACATTCTCATAGCAAACGGACAAAGAAAAACCACGCAACAAATTTTACATTATGCTCGCCCAAAAACTACGGAAAAAAAAAATAAAACTAGTGGGCAGGAGAATCCATATAAGGTGTTCTATGTTCGAACCGTAATGTGCAAGAATGGTCGCCGAAACCCGTATTTTGACATATCTGGCCACTTGTGGCAGGAGAATCGTATAGGTGTTCGATGTGTTCCGAACCGTAATGCGCAATGAAATGGTGATATGTAAACCCCGTATTTAGCATTATCCTGCACTTGTGATGGAGAATCCGTAAAGGTTGTTCGAGTGTTTCGACCGTAATGCCGCAAGAAAATGGTACGAGGAAACCTCAATTTCATATCTGCCACTGTGCAGGAGAATTCCGTATAGGTTTGTTCGAGTGTTCGAAGCCGTAATTGCGCAAGAAATGGTATACGGAAAACCCCGTATTTACATATCTGCCACTGTTGCGGGAGAGTATAGGTGTCAAGTGTTC